TGCTTAGGATGTATTCTTAGGCTACAGAAACAGCTTGCCGAGGGAAGACAGATATTACTGTTGAGAAGAGATTGATGGTTCATCTTACACGTCCCTTTTTGAACTCAAAGACGTACAGTTGTTTGTCCTGTGGTATTTTTCCACTGTGGCTCGGACTCCCTTTCCACATGTGGGCAAAAGGCCATGACCACCCCTATCCTCATCCATGAGATGTAAATTAATCTTCTGTACTGTAGATCCTCATTTCCAGTGAGATCAGAGATGCAGCTTCAGACCAAATGACAAATGGGCACTTTGTTTATCCTAAGAGGAACCAAGTGGTTCCCAAATGACCTTCTGTCCTCAGTTCCTCCAACTGATTCTATCAATATAATTGTGTTTGTTCCTTGGTCACTATCCAATCTGTCCTTAGTATTTCATGGGTTTGGGATTAAAAAAAATTTTTTTTTAAAGACAACTGACACTACTGAGCTATTTAAATAAAATCACGTTATCTTCTACTTGGACTGGCTCAAAATTGGTAATTAAATGGCATGCAACTGGTTCCCAGTCTGCTCCCTCTTCCCTTTTGCCTCCTAAATGGAAATAATGGTCCCAGCACTGCACAAACGATCATACTCCTGTGACCTTTTCTGACAAGAGCTCCCATTTCCCCATCCCTCAGCTCGGAGGCTACAGGCAGTGGGAGTGTGGGACGCTCTACTCCAAAACAAGGGTTCGTTTCAGAATGTGGTCAGCTTGGCTGTGGACTCCAAAGACCAATGCAACTCGGGTTTGTTATTCATCTTAAAAGCACAAGTATTAAGACACACACACACGCACACACACGCACACGCACGCACCAGTGTAGGGGGGAGTTGGAAGAAAAGCCTATCCACGCTAGCCAACAAACTGACTGAGGTGGTCTGTCTGGAGCTGCAAGTCCTTTTTCTACCCATGCCCCCCGCCCCATGCCAAATGCCGCTGAGGGCACTGTCCGCATCCCACACATCAAAACAACTGAAAAGGAAGTGGGCTGCCCTAAGGCAGAAAGCAGAGCCCTGGATAAATCCCCGCCTGTTTGACTGGTGGGGGACCAGAGAAGTAAGACTATTTTGTCTTAGACGGGGACAATCCACAGCTTAGAACTGGGTTTTGTCATGTACGAATTACCCCCTTAGTGAAGGCAATGGGTCCTTGGCAGACCCAGGCTTTGCTTATCCTTTCAGCCTCTTGCCTGCTGTGAGGACTGCAGCCAGAGGCTTTTGCAACCCTGGTCTTTCCGATGACTACAAGGTTTGGAACACGGTGCTGTTTTGCCTGTCGGATGTTTCCTGCTCCTCTGTCAGTTCACAAAGCAGATACGTTTCAGGCTTTCGTGTTCCAAAGCCCAACCACCTTCAGTCTAAGTACATTCCCCCCTACATGGAGGCTAATTTATACTTAACAAGGAATCTCTGCACTAGAATCACTGTCAGAGACCACCCAGTCCTACCTCCTCATTTTGCAGAAGAGGCTCAGAGACTGCCTCGATGTCTCCCATCTAGTCGCACAGCTCCCACCTTAATGCCAGACCTCATTAGCATCCCCGAGATCTATCCAATAAGCTCCTAACTGGTTTTCCCACCTCCACCGTTGGCCCCACCCTCCTCCAAGCCACTTTATGCAGCTGCCAGGTTCATTTTCATGCATCAATCTGGGCATATCATTCTTCTGTTTAAAAGCCTCAGTACCTACCAAGTCGACACTACTTAGCCTGGCACTCAAGGCCCTCCATGAACTGGTACCACCCTATCTTTCCAGCTCAAACAGGACAACTCTGTCCATAGCATGGGCCCTATGCTCTACCTCCATATGCTGACCATGACAACTAGACTGTTTCCACCACTATTACTTCCCCATCCTTTAAACCCAGTTCATATGACACTGCTGAAAAGTCTTCCCCAACTCCTACGTGGCCATTCTTTCCTTCCTTCCGACCCCAGAGAGCCCCTCATTTTCGTTTCAGGCGCTTAACATTTATTATTGTTAGAGTACCTGCTGTTAAGTCTATTCCCTTGTAGACTGTAACCTCCATGAGGAAAGAGCCTAATTCAATTTTCCTATTTCCCAAACTCTTCAATGGAAGTGATTTGCCCCGAGTTGTTTATTGTTCTTTTTTTTCAGTCATGGCAGACTCTTCGTGATGCCATTTAGGGTTTACTTGGCAAAGATACTGGAGTAGTCTGCCATTTTCTTCTCCAGCTCATTTTACAGATGAGGAAAGTGAGGCAAACAGGGTTAAGAGACTTGCCTGGGGTCACACCGCTAGTAAGTGTAAGTGGTCACACCTGAACTTGGGTCTTTCTGACCCCAGGGCCAGCACTCTATCTACCGAACCAGAATTGCACAGCCAGGATAGCAGAGCTGGGCTTAGAGCCTGTTTTGACCCCCAGTCCAACATGCCATTCATGGCCCTATTCTACCGTTCTGCACTGTCATGCTGGAGGCCACATTAGCAGTACAGATTTCCCTCATCCTCAGAATCTGTAGTTCCAATCTGTTCTTCCCTCTCTCCCTCCACCCCTTATTTTGAGAACATTGATTTCTACTTAAAAGCCTTTCATCTTGGAATCCAATCTCCTGGAACTCTGGGAAATGACCAGAGTTTCATTTTTTCCAATGGGCAAACCGAAGATTCTTGATTTGCACAGTAGGAAGACAGCAGCAAGGAGACCTAGGAAGAAAACCCAGGAGTCAAACTCCCAGGCTCCTTGCTCCAGGGAGATCAGAACCCTTCTGGGTTTTTATTTGTTTATTCATTCTGTGGGTGTTTTTCTTTTTCTTTCCCTAAACGCCAAAGGCAGTAAAGGCTTTTCATAAAATGTGATTCTTGGCTTGAATCATGGTACTGCAATCCAGATGTAAGAAATGAAAGCTTGGAATAGCATCCCTGTGATTTAGTAGTGGAGCTCTGATCAGAGGCAGCGAGAAAAGGGTGCAAGGAACTTGTACCATCCACCTTTATGGGCCACTAGCTAGAACCACTTTTGTGACCATCCTTAGGATCGCTGGTTTCTTCTATCCTACAATGTGCATGTCCTGTGCTAGCTGATGCTGACTAAGGAACAGCAGCAACCCTTTCACCACAGAGAAAACTTTTTGTGCACCTCCTTTTTAAGGAAAGTGCTGGCCAGCTTAATGCAAACAGCAGACTGGCCCCTCAGAGAAGAAAGCAGACACCATCAATGGACAAACAAAACCAGAATAATGGAGCTGCACGGGTCTTTGGGATGTCTGGTCCAACTTGTACCTAAGGGGGGGAATCTCTTCTACAAGAGTTTGTTATCTCTACATCTGAAGACTTTCAGTGATGTTCCCATTACTCACTACTTCCTAATACAGGCAATTCCACTTTGGGATAGCTGATCATTTGAAGTTTTTGAACTTTTTTTTTTTTAAACTCAGGAACGCCTGAGTTCAAATCCAGCCTGAGACACTAGCCGTGAAGTAACCCTGGGCAAATCACTTAACCTCTGCCTCAGTTTCCTCATCTGTAAAATGGGAAAAGAGCAGCACCTACCTCCCAGGACTGTTGTGAGGACCAAATGAGGTAACACTTGTAAAGCATTTAGCACAATGCCTGGCACATAGTAAGTGCTATATGAACTTCAGCTGTCATTGTCATTTTCCTTACATTGAGCTGCACCTCGCTCCCCTGCTCATCAAGCAGAATAAGCCTAATCCTTTTCACACAGCAGCCCTTGAAAACAGTGACCGTGACGCTTGTCTCTTCTGCTCTAGGCTACACCTCCCAGCTCCTCTGACTGATGATTCAGCTGCCCAGGCCAGTAGCTGGGGATCATTATTTCTCATATTAGGAAAATGGTACACAGTGACAAAATGATGACAGAGCTGGTGAAGTATCTCCATCAGGTATTGACATAATGCCAGACAGTCTAGTCCCATCAGGGTCTTCAGGGTGTCAGAGTACAGCTAAATTGCTCTGAACTCAAAAGGATTTTTTCTATCTGGCACATCCTCCCTTACCATTAAGGCACAATTTAGGGCACTTAAATTGAGAATTTCATCCTCAAAAGGGCTTTACCCATAACAACTAGACCACCCCAAGAACTAGGTTAGTGCTTTTATTAGCTCTGTTTTCCGGAAGGGGAGGGAAAGAAACCAAATGGTTTGAACTGGGAGTGTCTCTGCCAAGATGAGCGAGCACTCCAGTGGGAATGCTCAGCTCTCAGCTTGCCGGGCCCTTCCCCCCATTGAAGCTCTCCTAAGCATTGAGCAAATGGCTCAACAAGCAGCCTATAAGGATAACCTGCCTGCCATTAGCACTGGCCCCCCAAAAGCAGAAGAGGCAGCCTGCTGTGGTGGGTAAAGCACTGGACATGAAGCCCAAAACCTGGGTTTCAATCCTGACTTGGTTTGCTGCTGTGTGACCTTGGGCAATTTAATTCTTTTATGACACATCGTTTTCATCTGTAAAATGGAGGGATTGAACTAAGCTGTCTCTCAGGTCCTTTCCAGCCCTGAATCCTGTGATCTCATGATTCTGTATCTAGAGAGTAGGGCAAAAGCACTGGATCTGGAGTCCCAAGACCCAGCCTGGAGCTGTAGCTTTGTAAAATGCTTAGTACAGAAACAATCCCGGGCAGTGCAAAGAGGGCCAGTTTTAGAATCAGAGGCTCCACCTGGGTTCAAAGGCCATCTCTGCCACTCACTCTGTGTGCAAAGTTGGGTAAGTGACTTAACCTTCTGGCCTCAGTTTAAAGAGGGATTTGGAATAGAAGCTCTCTTCTACCTCTAATCCTATGTTAGCTAACACACTACAAAGGAGTGTTAGGTCCTGAGTTAGACCATTTCCTCTGCCCTTTGGGTAACTGCTCAGACTGGACAGGCTTCTACCCAAGCAATGTTAAATGCAGGGGGCACACCCCTCCTGGCACAGAGGGCTCTCCCCCAAGGCCCAACTAGCAGCTTGAAGATACTGACATCTTTGAGCAAGAAAAGCTCTTCAAAAACAGAAGTAGTTTTTAACCTTGCCCTGGCCCCCCCCTCATTTATTTGGACATGAAAGAATGTTGAATTCCCTTCACAGTCAATCTACAAGGAAATAAATGGGGTAGACATAGGAAAATAGTCCTGAAAGTGTACTGAGAGATGCAACAAGTTGGCTGGATTTTTGCGTCAGAGTCAAACTGCCCTGCCCCTTCCTCATACCGATGATTTCAGATCTGGACGTGGAGCAGCAGGTGGTTGGCTTCCCTTCGTCTGGGGAAAAAAGGGCCCTGGACAGAGGCACACATCTGGGCAGGAAAGCAAGTCTGCTCCTGCAATATTGAGGTGATTCTGAGGCCCCTTTGGGACCATTTTCTTTAGCCCCACCTTCTTAGGAAGCATCAAAGTAGTCTTGTTTGGAACAGAAGTACCATGAGGTATGGAAGGAAAAGCAGTGACAGGCTGTCTGAGGGCAAGCCAGAGATCTGGGCCACTCCTACTGGCCTGAAAGAGAGGCTTCTGAGCTTTACTCCCTCTGACACCTGCAGAGTCCTGGCCTTAACACCCCAAATACAGCAACGTAGACATCTGTGTGGCAAACCAAGAAAACACCCCCTAAGAAACCAGCACATGATATGGTCCCCTCCGGTCACTTCAGTAGAGACAAGACAAGACAAACTTTGGACGAGGCTTCAGATCACAGTTCAACATGGCCTGTTCTGGCCACTAACACGATTTTGGACAGTTCAGCTCGGAATGCCCCTTGTCTGTGGGTCACTGAAAAGATACACACATAGACAAAAATATACAATCAGAGGAGAAAAATGCAATGGCACTGAAAAAAAAAACCCACCCCACATTCACACTCAAGTACTTCTGAGAACACAAATGGTGGCTTATCCATCAATCAACCCACTATGTTTCCTTGAACAAGTCCTCATCTCTGGAGGCCTCAGTTTCCTTATGTGAAAGATGGAGTTGGACTGGTTGCTAGTCTAATATTCCTTTGGGATTAAAGACTCTTACTCTCTAAGTAAAAGTGCTCTACTAATTAAGGTAAATTATTACATAGTAACACCACAATTTCTACACCTTTATCAACATACCTTCCTCACTGGAAGTTTCCTATGCCAATGAAATCAAAAGTTCAGTTAAAAAAGCAGAACACACTCTAATTATCTGAAGAAGCCCTCATAAGAGAATTTTTAGACACCTGAAGCCCACTTCTTTTCATTGCCAATGTTTTTTCAAGTTTGACCTTTTTATGTGGAAATCTCATCTAAAATGTATAATTTCTCTCTTCTTCCCTCTTGCTGCTGACTCAGGGTTTTCATGACGAACACCAGTTACCAGGCACTTGTGGTGAAGTGTAATGGGAAGGGCACCAGCTTTGGAGTCGGGGCTTCGACCTCACTCACTGCTTGTATGAACTGAGACAAGTCATTCAGCCCCTCTGAGATTAGTTTCTCCTTCTGTAAAATGAGGCTGCTGGACCCGATGGGCTCTTGCAGCAATAAGGTGCTCTGTCACATAGTGAGTGATGCCCTCAGGGCTACTCAGGTGGGCCCTTCTGCTAAATAGACCTAGAGCACTATGCATTTCAATCAACCAACATTTATCAAGTGCCTGGTAGGTGCCAGGCTCTGTGCTAAATGCTAGAAGTAGGCCCAAAGTTCTCCTCTCTCCTCTCTCTGCTGTCAACTGTCAACTTCAGCTTTGCCTCTCCTAGAGGTGTGGACTTTGTGACAACCATTTCCCAATCAAAGGCTTTATTCGCTTATACTGGGCTTCCTGGCATCTGGGCCCTGAATGAGTGGAGTGTTTCTGACTCAAGACCTTTAATTATAAACCTGTGCCACCTTTGGCTATTGTTTGCTCTAGAATGATTGAAAAGGAAGCCAAGTCCCAGCCCCACACACATACACCTTCTTAAGATGGAGCCAAACTCCGGGACCCACTCCCAATATAAGATGTTCTATTGTCTTAACAGAAGCTGAGGTGGGGTTGTTTATTTGAAAAGTAACTATGTGTAGAATGTCTGTAAATTTAAGGCCTAAAAGACTAGGGATTGAGGTTGTTTCCCTTGAAACTCTAACTCCGTACTGAAATGCCAGACATTTGAGACACCTCGCACCCAAGATAACAAATTCTGTTTGAGCACCAAACATGTGCTTTCTGTGATATCAATCTGCCTCTAACCTTTTCCTTCTGTCATTCTGGCAAGTGAGTGATCCCAGGGTCTAAGACCTAATGAAAACAGGGGCCATTCCTGGACTGGACATCAGACTTCATAATGGCAGAAGCCCCATGGGGTGCTTTCAGGTGACAGGATGATTCTGTACAACAGTCTCGTTGGTAGGGTAATAGAAGAGTAATTGTTTTCATTTTCCTAATAAGGAAAACAAAGACAGGATGTGACAGAGCTAGTCTCTGAGCTCCAAGTCTAGGACCTGAACACAGCTCTCCTACCTCCAAATCCAGTCCTCTCCTCTACCACATCTGCCTTTCAATCCCTTATGTCTGGATCTCCCACTCTCTTACTCTGGGTAGCCACACCCCAATCCATCACATCACTGCATCTGAGCTACAAAATCACTGAGTCACTGGGTCATAGGATTTACAGCTATAAGGAAACTTAGAGATTACTTAGTTCAATCCCCACATTTTACAGGTTAGGAAACTGAAACCCATAGAAAGGAAATCCCCGCCTTTTTTTGTTCTTAGAGACCGGGTCTCCCTATTTTGCCTCTTCTTAAGCAGCCTCATTTCCCTTAGCCCCCAGAGCTCAGAACTTCCAAGCTCCATTGCTCCACCAGCCTCCCTCTCCCCTGCAGCAGAGATTACAAGCATATGCTACCACGCCCACCTAAAATGACTTGATTAAGGTCTTATGGGTGGTAGTAAGGAAACCCACGAGGCGATTTTAACAGAGACTTTCCCATAAATACTGAATTCATTATTCGTCTCTCTTTCATGCCTTCCCTCTTTCCCTTCTGGCCCAACTCTCACAATTCACCTTCACTGGTCTTCTAAAGTAAATATTTACCTGCTGTGCTGGTCACTTCAAATTCTTCAGGTTTCAGGGGAACATCTGCATCTTTTCCAGTTGAAGCTTTAGACTGAAAAGAACCAATTCTAAGGTTTACCAGAGGACTCTGTACAGGGGTCTAACTCTTCCATTTGCTTCGAACAAAAAAAAGCAGTTCTTCTGCCAGAGAAGGGAATGTGCTGCTATGTATGTAAATCTACTTCAGAGACTATCAAATAGCTTAACAAGAGCTAGCAAGGGCCCAGGGGAACCTGCTCTGCCTCTGCCTCTCACTGGCCAGGTGACTGTGGACAGGCCATTTTCCCTCTCTGAGGTGCAGTTTCCTCATCTGTAAAATAATGTTTTCACTGCCTCCCTCATGATGCTGCTGTGAGATTACCCAGAGCACTGTGCCTTGATGTTCTCAGAAATGTCTACTGGCATTTTAAATAAGACACATGGTTTTCTATGATGCTTTCAGGCCTTCCTCACAAAGCCTCCGTGGAGGGGATGCAGTCTATTCACGCCTATATTCCTAATGACCAAACAAGACACATCCAGCCAGTGAGTGTGAGAGCTGAGCCTAAACAGGGCCTGAACCGGGCCTCCTTCATTCATCCACACCTAGTGCTCTCTCTGCCCACTATCAATACTGTAATTTCTAAGTTTTTCTTTCAGTCAGTGATTTGTGAAAAGGATATGGGAAGGGCAGGCTCTGCCCCGTAACATTTATCAGCACCACCCAACTTTCACATTAGCCGAAGACAGGCAAAATGCTTTCATGGAAGCCACAGGCTGGTAGCCAGGACTAAGCTCATTTCCTAACATGAGGAGCCCTGGGATACCCCAAAAAACAATATAGAAGAGATTCCTTTTTTAAAAATAAAGTCAAACCCTTCTAACTAAAACTCTAAGTCCATAACTCTCTAATGTAGCTTTATACACAGAAGTAAATTTCATTTAATGACACCCCACCAATTCAGAATTAAGATAATTCTGGCATATACTGACTAAAGGAAAGCCTATGAAAAAAGGGAAACATTTCACTTACTTCAGGGAACAGACTTCCCTTCTCTCTTGCAGCATCCACCCGAAACCCCAGAGCTAATTACAAATGACCCATTATCTATTCATTAAAGCAGTCACGCAGGGCCTTTACTTGGCAACTCATTTAAAACCATCTAAGTGTGTGGTACTCTCTGGCTTTCTGAGTAACAAAATTGAATTTTAAACACTTTCTCAAGTCAGACTTGTCATTAATTCCGACGGGCTCCTCTGCCTTGCCTCCCATCAGTATAAGCGCCTGGTTTCATGCAGCAGAAGCTTGGGCAGCAATCCCCAAACTCACAGCATTATCTCCAAATGCCCACTCTTAAGTTAGAGTCATATACTAAGACTTACATAAGCCATGCCGTATTCGACCTCTGCTCCCTGCACTTCTGCCTTAAACTGAGTAAAGAACAGGTAAGACTTTCCCTGGGGCCTGCAAAAAAAAAAAAAAAAGTTATTAGAGTCATTCAGAGAAGAGAGTGCTGGTAGAAAATCATGGTCCAAATGCTCTGCAGCTGGCCCAGGGGTCGGAAGTCTGTTCTTCTAGCATCTGAGCCTGGCTTCTTAAAACCAGGGAGAGATGGAAGCTGTCTGAACAGGTCATTGACTCTGGGCAAGCATTCATGCTGCTGGGGATGAGGCCTCAGGTCTCTAGCTCTCTACCAAGGGAGGGCAGCTAAACCATCCTGAAGCCCAATGCCATTGCTTCCTAGCCGGATGATCCCAGGTCAGTTACTTTGCCTCTATGGCTTGGTATCCTCACCTATAAAATAGGGATAACACCCACCCTCTCTACTGCATAGGATTGTTGTGTGAGGATCAAGTGAAGTAGTTCAGGTAAAGTGCTTTGTAAACCCGAACTAAAGTGCTCTAGAAATGAGATTCCTACCAGACTCCAGGCCTGGGATGACCTCAGAAACATCTGCCTGAAGACCAGCTTAGCTTAGTGAAGTGTGGAAAGGCTCCGAATGAAGGAGTTGGGAACTGCCCTGCAGAGCGAGCCCTAGCAGCCAGGAAATAACCAACAATGAAAAGAATGAGTGATAGTCAATTCAGCTTTAAGGTTTATCAGGTTAGGTGAAAAGTTCCCATTCTTTCACACAGAATCCTGAATGCATCTAAAGCTACATTCTGATGATCTCTAAGGTACTTATATAAAACTGAAAAGGCCCTTTGAGAGGTTACTGATCACCTGCATTTTGAGGGTAACCAAACTAGGAAACAAAGGACAAACATGTTTCCCCCCCCAGACCCATGGTAAGGCAACAGTAAAGTCAGAAATATAAGCCAATGCTACTCTGAAGGTACCAGCCCATGGCCTTAGCTCCCCACACTACAATGATGAATTCATTTTCTTGTAACAGGAGCAGTACTCCTAAAACCTGGGCCATCCAGAACCCACTGAGACAGCTTCAGGGCTTCTGCAATGGCTAATGTAGGGAATCTAGGTCAATTAAACAAACAGTAAGGCCCAAGCATTACAGAGTTATTGAGCACCTACTAAGTACAAGCACTCGGTGAGAATTAGAAATACAAGCCTCATTTCTAGGCCTCCAGGAGCTCACAGTGGAACTGGGTAAAGAGAAGACCCCTACTGTACATGAAAAGCTAACTGAAAACATGAAACATAATTACATGTTTATGTTCTTTATCCGGGCTTCCCCCTTCTTCTGTTCACCTAAATCTATCCCCACTTTCAGGACCCAGTTCCAGTCCTATCTCTTCTCGAAAGCCTTTCTGTCCACACTGCTGCATTCTCTGAACACTTATAGAATCGATCATCCATTCCACACAACTTAGCACTTAATTACAGCTGGCTACTGGTCTCTGCCCAATGATAGGACCACTGAAGCGTTCAAGAAAAACCAAGAAAACCAGATCATGCATTCTTGGAGGCAAAGGACGTTCCTTAGCAATATTAAGTGAGAAAAGGATCTAAGTCCTTTCTGGGTCTCCTTAACTGGAAAAGGAGGGAGGTGGAACAAATGATTATCTGAGGTCTTTCCTTGACTCCTCCCCAGTCCAGCTGTCCCAAACCCCACCCAGATTGTTCACATGGATGAGATGAGAACCACCTGGCAGATGGAGAACCACCAGGCCTCACCACCTGCTCTGCCCAGGTATCCTAAGGTCCTCCAGGCCTTAACAACTGCCCTGCCTCTAGGTCCTCCAGACCACTTTACTGTCACCTGAACTGCTGACCATAACCCCAGGGTACTTGGGCCTTGCTGAGGCTGCACCTGCAGGGCTTTCTTCCATCTGCCCCATGTTGTTTCTTCTCCCCTAATTACAAGGTAAGCACCCTGAAAACAGGGAGTGTCTCCTTTTTCTACTTGCATACCCAGCACTCAGTACAGTGCTTGGCACAAAGAAAGAGAGCAATAAATGCTTTTTTGTTCCCTCACTCAATGTTCTAAGGTCCCTTCCCAGCTCTGATGACACCCTGTATTTTGTGTTCCAAGGCTGCTCCTTCTCTAGCTTTCTATGGCTCAACCACCACCACTGCCGCTGCAGCTCCTACTTCTTTTACCTAGCATTTTAAAGTTTGCGAAGCACTTTACAAACACTATTACCCCCATTTTACAGATAAGGAAACTGAGGCACAGAGGTGAAGTGATTTGCCTAGGGCCACATAGCCCTGCCAATGTCAGAGGCAGGATTTGAACCCAGGTCATGCTGACTCCAAGCCCAGAGCTGTATCCAATATGAGTTCTAAAGGAGCCAGAGGACAGATAAAATAACAGTGAAATGACTGAACTTGCCTCCAAATGACGCAGGTGAGGAGTCGGCTGTCATCACTGAGGTCCAGGCTCATTTGCCATTGCTGTGAAAGGAAGACGGCTTAAGTCTCATGATGCTTGTAAACGGAAAACATCTCACGACTTTTTTCTACTTAAAATTGCTTTGAGGCCCCTGAGCACCAGTAAAATGTTCTAACCCAGGCACAGCATCAAACAAATCCAGGAAAGCTCTCCCTGCTTTTAGAAAATTACCTAAAAAGGAAACTGACTCGCTGACGAAGCATGTGAGAGAAACCCACGCCGGCAAGGCTCCCATGTGAGAGGGGCAGCATGAAGACGCCCTCTCCCCACAAGAGTGAGGACAGGAGAAGGGAATTCTCCTTGCTTACAGGGCCATGTCACCGGCTGCCCTCTGCACACCCAGGTCTGGCCCGAGGGCAGCCTCACCTCTCTGCACTGAAAATGTCAGGTACCTGTTCCTGCTGACTTTCAATACTGCTCAGGTGGTGCACATAGGTGTAAATGTAACCTCCCAATGAATGGAGATTTCGGTATCTTTAACAGTAATTCAATCAAGCTAGCAATCAGTTGCCAGACCTGGCCAGCTGTCTTTCACATCTCCTCCCCTCACTTAGTGGTCACCTCCTGTCTCACCCTCTCCCTCCCACCACGGACATGCCCTCATCACTTCTCATCTGCACTAGAGCAATAGCACTTCCTTTCTAACAGATGTCCCCATTCACACAGACTGAACTATTTGAGAAAAGGAGAAGAGTGACTCCACGGCCAGCAGACAGATCACAGCAACAAGAATCTGGACTGGACAATATCGATCAAAGGTTCTTAATCTTTGTTGAGTCACGGACCCTTTGGCAGGTCAAAGTCTCAGAATGATGTGAAGAAGCCCTGATATAGCAGAGTGAATGTCAAAGAGGAGCGGCTGCAGAATGCCCCCTCCTGCTCCAAGCCCAGAGTCTCGAGGAATGACAGAAGAGAAGGAGCAAGTAAGCAAAGGAGAGGGTGCAGTGTTATCTGAAGACAGTCCGAGATGATAGCGAGAATGCGAAAAGAAGAAATGAAGGAGGTCTGTTAATGGCCCAGGGGATTCGAGAGAGTGCAATGGTAAGGAAAAGCAGAGGAAGAAGGGGGACAGGTAATTAATCTACTTCTCAATACCTCTTAGTTATCACGGAGTCCTTCTCAAAGGTAAAGTGCTGAAGAAATGCTAAGAAATTCTAAACAATTACCACCATTGAAATTATGAAATTCAATAGACAGTATCTTTTAAATCACAACATCACCATGGGTGCCATGAAAACTCAGAACCCACTATACAATGATTCTTTCATCCCAGAGAGTGCAAGGGAAGGAAATAAGAATAAATAATAAAAATGATCATTAATAGTAGGTAACATTTACATAGCACTTTACACACATCATTCCACTGAAATCTTCCCAGTGCCCCCCACCTGTGAGACAGGCGGTGTACTTATTGCTAGGCTACTTTATGGACAAACCACCTGAGGAGACCTGCACAGTCCCCAGAAGAGGGAGGATTCACACCTCGGTCTTCTAGGTCCAAACCCGAGGTCTTTTCCACTAAAGTTTGAGAGGCACAAGGCATGTGACACCTTCTTCACTGCACTGACAGTAAGGCCTCTCAGGGTTCAAAGCCCTGCCTGGGGTTGCACAATGAACCAGGACAAGGCGCCAGGTCTCCTGGCCCAGAGTTAGTTGGTTCTGCACGTCAGGCTATTCTGTCCGCCTGTCAGGACAACGTACTCACTCAGCCTCTGAAGGAAAGGCTGACAGTGCAGCTCGAGTCTGTGGGGGAATGGAACTGTCCTTTGACCAAGCTGTGCTAGGATTTGAATAACTCACCTCATTAGTCCCACCTTGAGCAGCATATGTGAATGTGCAGGTGTGTCCTCCCTGGAGAACAAAGGAGAAAAAAGAAGTCTTGGGAACAGCAGGCAACGGAAATCGCAAAGAGTTGTTAAATACATCTCCCCTTCTTTTTAGTCTCAGGCTCTGAACATGAGGAAGTCAAATGCCTTTGTTAGGTACTGCTACAGGCAAACAGCAATCGATTAACGTATTTATCTATGCTGAGAAGCTAGGCAGAAGAACAAGACACAGGAGCCCAAAGTGGAAAAGGACCTTAGAAAAATCCTGTTTCAGGCTGAAGAATAAATACCCTCTGCAACCTTTCTGACAAGGTCATCCAATATGGGTGCCTCCAGTGACAGGAAACTCACTACCTCCAGAGGCAGAGTATTCATTCTATTTTTGGACAACTCTAGTTATTAGGAAACTTTTTTATGCTTAGCTGAAATCTCCTTCTTTGTCATTTTTAGTCCTCCCTCTTGGCTACTCCAAAATGGCTCGATCGACAACGTGCTCATGCCGCCCTTTCCCTGCACTACTCCATCTACGGCCCCGAACATACAATCTACCACCTCGTTCAACTGGGACTGTGTATCCTCCTCTTTTATGTTCTCCTGAACCTTAGTCCAGGGATTCAGTACCCATAGATCTGAGAGAGGTGACGGCCCCTGTAATCTGCCCTAGTCAGGTCACTCCCAGAGGATCAGGAACAGTTCTGGATGCCACGATAAAGAGAGATACTGAGAAGGCAGAACCTGTAAGACAGTGCTATTATTATTATTCTAACAGAAGAAGAAACTGAGGCAGAGGGAGATTAAGTGATTTACCCAGGATCACACAGTTACTAAGTGTCTGAGCCTGGATTCAGAGCCAGGACTTCTTAACTCCAAATCCAGTACTACATCCCCTAGGCCATCCAGCTGTCTAGAAACCACAGTGGCTCCCTATTGATTCTAGGTAAAACACAAACTCCTTTGTGTGGCCTTCAAAGTCCTTCACAATTTGGCTCCTGCTTACCCTCCCAGAAATTTCCCTTTATATCCTCTCATACACTCTGTGAACTGGTTAAACTTGCCCACTCACAGGGGCCTGTCCACAATACCCCACCTCTTTCTTTGGAGCAGCTCTCTCTCCTGCTTGGACCCTGCTACTCCTTCTCACCTCAATCTCTTGGAGCCCCTGCCTTCCTTTCAGGATTAGCTCACAAGACCCTTTTCCTAAGGGATGCCTCTCCTGATCTCTCCCCCTCCCACAAAGAACTTTGTATTGATATATCTGTACATAAAGTATACTCTCAACAGAATAACAGCTCCTTGAGGGCAGGAACTATTTGCTTCTGCATTCTTAGTGCCAGCACTGAGCACTGAGCAGTGCCCATGGTATATGCTTAATAAATGCTTTCTGAATTCAGCTGCATGCTGCAGAGGATTCCTGCTTCAGGAATAGAAGAGCCCCTGGGATCTCTCTCCTCCTTACTGTCCATGGCGCCAGGACCCCCAGGCTACACTGGGGCACACAAATGGATGTGCAGATTTCAACTCAACAGATGAAGACTACTCTAACAGTCCAGACCCTCTAATAATGCAACCTCCTTTGGGAAGTGGTCATTCCCCTGAACCTCGGTAGTGCCTGCAGCGTACTTTTTGAGAATGCCACAGTGGGGTTCCGTATGCTTGGGAGTCTAAGAGGCTGTAACAGAATATATTTTCTCCTTCTTCTCAGATGCTGTACCACTCTTGTGGCCCTAGGCTGAGGGGTTCTGGGTAGATGGCTCCACTAGCCACTTCTGAAAAGATCCCAGTGCCTCCCCAGCACTGGAGAGTGGAGCTCTGGGATGAACTCCAGAGCCCCTGGACCCCAGGCTTGGGAACTGAGCTCTCTTTCCTTCATCCTAGAGCACTTGGTCCTCTTATTAAAACAAGTTATTTAACACCTGCTACAAGCGGGGCTCTGGGCTAGGCAAGGGGTCCAGCAGTCCTCATCCTCATGGAATTCACAGTTCACAGCCATTTTTTATTTCACTTAATCTTTACAATCATGTGGGGGGAGGTAGGCATCGTATTGGTCATTATTTACTTTTTTTTTTTTTAGTGAGGCAATTGGGGTTAAGTGACTTGCCCAGGGTCACACAGCTAGTAAGCGTCAAGTGTTTGGTCTGAGGGTGGATTCGAACTCAGGTCCTCCTGAATTCAGGGCCCATGCTCTATCCACTGCGCCATCTAGCTGCCCCCATTATTTACTTTTTATAGCAGAATGAATCAAGCAACAAATACCTGTTAAGCATCTACTGTGTGCCAGGCTCTGGGCTGAGTGCTGGGGCCACAAAGACAAAATTTAAATAGTCTCTGTCCTCAAGGAGCTTGCATACTAACAGGAGAGACCACCTGTATGTGTAGAAGTGTATGCAAAATATAGACAAAAGGAACATGAGTCACTTTTGAGAGGGCACAGACAGCTGGGGGTGGGTCAGGAAAGGTTTCAGGTTCGAGGTGGTGCTTGAGCAGTCTTGAAAAAAATCATGGATCTCAAGAGGCAGAGGTGAGGAATGAGGTGCATTCTGGATCTGGTGGACAGCTTGTTGAGCACAAAGACTCACAGATGTGAGACTCCATAGAGTACATGGAGAGGATGAGCAACAGGTAAGAAGTCTGCAAGGGTAGGAAGTGGCCAGGGTGTGAAAAATTCTGCACGTCAAATGGAGAAGGTTGCATGTAAACCTGGAAGAAATGGGGGTCCACTGGAATGTACCCAGTGAGAGAGAGAAAGAGAAAGAGAGAAAGAAAGAGAGAGTGTGTGTGTGTATGAGAGAGAGAGAGAGAAACAGAGACAGATTTGAAAGAGACAGATATTATAGAGAAAGAAACAGATTTTACAAATATATATATAGAGAGAGACAGACAGACAGACACACGGTCAGACCTTTGCTTTAGAAAGATCCCTTTGACAGCTGTGTGGAGGATGGAGAAGAGATTTGAGGAAGGAAGAGAAACCAAGAAGAGGACACTGAAATAGTCCAGGCAAGAGGAGTTGAGGCCTGAGCTAAAGTGATGGCATTATGACAGAAAAAGAGAACTAACCACTAATCAGGCAAGAGATGACATGGAGATAGAAATAATTCTTTGAAAACACAGGAAACTAAGCCTCACAGAGGTAAAATGACCCATCTAGCCAGGGCAGGGCCTGGACTAGCCTGATTTTTCATCTCTCCCAGCTCAGACACAATACTGCATGTATAGTGAGTGATACAGACACTTAGTGATTATTCAGTTTTTACTGGAACTCCAAGTCCAACATTCTTTCTACCAGACTATTATCTTAAGCACTTATCATACTTGACTACACTATATTTGCATGTTTTATCTTCTCCACTAGACCATGCCATGTGGATAGGGGCCAAAATTCAATTCTCTCAGGGTCTCCGTCCATGCCTAGCAGAGTTTAATGTGTGGTACCTGTTAAGCTAATCTCCCACTTAATCTAGTGTGTGCTCATCCTTGCTATTTCTTTATGAAGATACTCCTTCCAATCACTTCATCTCCCCACCATGTCTTTTTACGGGCTAGGTGGCTCAGTGGAGAGAGCAATGGACCTAGAGTCAGAAGACCTGAGCTCAAATTTGGCCTCAGCTGTATGACCCTGCGCAAGTCATTTAACCACATCTGCCTCAGTCTCCTCATCTGTAAAAAGAGCTCAAGAAGGATAAGGCAAAATGCTCCAGTAATAACCCCAAACTGGGTTGTTGGACATGACTGAAAACGAATCAACAACAAAGACCCCCCCCCCCTTACCAGGCGAGCTCTCCCTCCTGGCTTCCCTGACTTCCTTCAAGTGCCAGACATAACCTCGTGTTCTACAAGAAGCCCTCCCCAACTCTTTTAATTCTAGTGCCTTTCCCAAGTTGATTATTGCCTATCTGCCTTGTCCTTGGCGTATTTGCACATAGTTGTTTGCATGTTTGCTCCTCCATTAGATTGTAAGCGCCTTGACGGCAGGGGCTCTCCCTTGCTTCTTTTGGTATCTCCAGCTCTAAATAAATGCTTACTGGCTGAATGACGGGTGGAAGGGACCTCGGGGCAGATGTGAGAGGTGGAAGGGGCCCTGGGACAGAGGATGTCAGAAGCGGGGGGCCCTTCGGCCACACAGAACGAGTCCCTCCAGAACCTGGGGTTGCTCACCCAACCCCGATCACGGGGACCCTGGGTCATCGGGGGGCCGGTATTTGTTAGGCTCCTGCTGGGCAGGCTGTCAGAGGAGGGGTCGGGGCGCTCCCAGGCCGACCCCGTCCCCGCGCACAGTGGGGGGCCTCCGGGGCGCCCCTCCCCCGCAGGCCCGGCCCTCGCGCTCCCCCGTCCAGCGTCCCCGCCTCGCCTCCAAACGGGCGCCGCTCGCTGGGGGGGAACTGGGGAGGGCGAAGGGTCCGCCTCCTGCAGCCGCCCCGGCCCCAGCCCGGCCCCGGCCCAGTCCCGGCCCTCCGTACCGCCTGCGCGTGGCTCTGCGAGAAGGAGTGCACCACCCCGCCGGGCCGCACGTCAAAGTCTACGGCGCGGTCACCGTCACTGCCGCCCGCCGCCGCTGCCGCCGACGCTGTTGCCAGGAGCAGGAGGAGTGAGGCCCAGGGGTGTGGGCTGGGGGCACCGCTGCTGCCACGGCCGCTGGGCGCCGCCATTCGGGCCGGAGGCTGGGAGGGAAGGGAACGCTGACGGGGCGCCGAGAGGGACACGTTAGGCAGGCCACGGGGAGGGCGTGGGAGAGAGCTCCACGTCAGTGCTCGAGGTGGCCACGTGACCTACTCCCCCACTTCCCCCCCTCGGCTGCCACCGGCCGCCATCTTGGGCGTGAAGGAGATGACCTTAAGGTAGGGCCCTTTGAGCGTACTCCTGCTGCAGGCCTGCCCCGCCTTTAGAATTGGGGGGCCCCTCGGGGTTGTAACGGGGTGGCTTTGTCCTGTGAGGCGCTCCCTTCAATCTGCGCTTGACCCCAGTGAGAAAGAAGTGGACGCGGACCCAGTACCGGAAAAGCCCCGCCCACAGAGGGCGCCTCTTCCATTCATTCCCTTCCCTTCCGTGCTGCTACGTCACGCTCCATGCCCTTACGTCACAGTCCTTCCCTGCAGTTTCGTGTAGCGTCAGACGAAGCGCCTGAGAGAACACCTACTCAAGTAGGGGGCAGAAGTGGGATTCCTTCATTAAGTGCTTTCTATATGCAAGCCCCCTTTCCGGGCTATAAAGTTATTGGCTATCTCTCCTTGAAATTACTTTGTATTACATCACAGATCTTTGCGTTTGCTTACTTGTATGCAAGTTGAATTTGCAATCAGAAGAGAAAAATTCAAACTACTGTTTACAACTTTTGTTATCTTGGACCAGTCGTGGCACACTGGGTCTGTTTCCTCATTTGCTCTAAAGTGAGGGGCTGGGAATAGGTGACTTTTTTGTGTGTTCAAACAGTGTGTTATTGTTTCCAATTACATGTATGGTTTTCAGCGTTTATATTTTTATATAAGATTTTGCGTTTAAAATTTTTTCTCCCTCTCTCCACTCCTCCCTCCCCAAGATGGCAAGCCATCTGATATATTTGATATACGTGCAATCATGTAAGCATACTTCCACATTAGTCATGTTGCAAAAGAAGAAACAGAACAAAAGGGAAAAGCCACAAAAAAACAAAAATAAGTGCAAATAGTGTGCTTCGATCTGCATTCAGACTCCATAGTTCTTTCTCTGGATGTGGATAGCATTTTCCATCATGAGTATTTTGGAATTGGAACAGACAACTTAAGGTCTCTTGGGGCTCTAAAGCCATGTGTCTTCGCAGTAGGAAGTTCATTTTTGTCGCTGTTTCCCCAGCAACCAAGCACAGTTGACATATTACATGCTTAATCAAGTATTGTTAAATTGGATTGAAATGCAGGACATAAAACACAGAGCCTGATCTCCAGAAGCTTACAATGAATTGGAGCCATTGCCCAACTGACAAATAATCAAAGAATGTGAATAAGCAGTTTTCGAGGAAAGAAACCCCAACTATATATAACCATGTGAAAAAAAATGTTCCAAATCACTGTCATTGTTCAGTTGTTTCAGACTCTTTGTGACCCCATTTGGGTTTGAGGTTTTCTTGGCAAAGACACTGGAGTGATTTGCCATTTCCTTCTCCAGCTCATTTTTGCAGATGAGGAAGGTGAGGCAAACAGGGTCAAGTGACTTGCCTAGGGTCATACACCTGGTAAGTTCTGAGTTCAGATTTGAACTCAGGAGGATGAATCCCAGATGAGGCCTAGCCCTGTCTGCTGCACCACCTGGCTGCCTCCACAAATAATTAGAGAAATACAAATTAATGTAACTCTTAAGATTCCACCTCAAACTCATCCTCTTGTCAAAGCTGATTTAAATAAATATGATATGATATGATATATTGGTTGGAGGGGCTCAAGAAAACAATTATATTGATGCAGGATTGGTGTAACTGTAAATTAGTTCAGGGATAGGAAACATGTCGCCTTCTAGGTCCTTGGATGCAGCCTTTTGACTGAGTCCAAGTTTTACTGAACAAATCCTTTTATTAAGGGGATTTGTTCTGTGAAGTTTGGATTCAATCGAAAGGCTGCACTTGAGGACCTAGAAGGCCACATGTGGCCTCCAGGCTGCATGTTCCCCACCCCTGCTTCAGCTATTCTGTTTTTGTTGTTGTTGTTGTTGTTTTGTTTTTTGCATGAGGCAATTGGGGTTAAGTGACTTGCCCAGAGTCACACAGCTAGTAAGTGTTATATGTCTGAGGCTGGATTTCAACTCAGGACCTCCTGACTCCAGGGCTGGTGCTTCAGCTATTCTGGAAAGTAATTTACATAGCCAGTAAGTATCTGAGGCAGGATGCAAACTTAGTCCTGCCTGGCTCCCAAGTCCAACATTCTATCCCCTGTGATGTAGCTGCCTTAGCTGTACAGAAGATAGAGTGGGGACAGGGAGGCTTGTTAGGAGGATGTTAGGATATTACCTCCAAACCAGAGGTAATAAGGACATCAACTAGGTGGTATCCATGCGAGTAAAGGGAAGGGAATGGATGCAAGAAATACCATGGCAGTAAAATCCCCAGGATTTGACAAATCAATTGGACCTGGGGAATCAAAGGAAGAAGAGGCACAGATAACCATGAGGTTTTGGACCAGGGTAAAATTGGGAAGATGGAGAGTCTGGAAGAGAAGATGGGTTTAGGTGAAAGGTGCTAAGTTCCATTTTGGACATCACAAACAGCCAGCTAGCAAGCATTTATTAAGTGCTCACTATATGTCAGCTACTGTGCTAGGTTGAGGAGACACAAAGAAAGACCAAAACACAGACCCTGGTGTCAAGGAGGAGGCAATGTGCAGATAACTATATCCAAGTTGTTATACAGTGTAAATATGGTAGGTAATCTAACTGGCATTGGGGGAGGTGGGGTAACCAAGAAAGGCTTCCTGCAGAATGTAGGACTTGAGCTATATCTTGAAGGAAGCCAGGAGGTGGAGATGAGGAGGGAGAGCAGTTGTGACATGGAGACAGCTAGTGGAAAGACAGATTTGGGAGATGGAGGGACTGCCATGCAGTAAGAAGGCTAGTGTTCTATATCAGATTGCCCACCATCTTGGGGAGGGAGGTGGGAAGGGAGAGGGAGAAAAATCTGAAGCTCAGAAGCTTATGGAAGTGATTTTTGATAATTCAAAGTAAATTAATTTAAAAGAAAAAAGGCTAGTGTTGCTAGATTGTAGAGATGAATGAAGTATAAGAAGACTGGAAAGTAAAAAAAGGACAGGTTATAAAGGGCTTTAAATGCCAAACAGGATATTTTATTGGGGAAGAAATAGGGAACCATTAGAGTTTATTAAGTAGGGTGACATGGTCAGACCTGGGTTTTAAGAAAATCACTGAGCTGACTGGAGGATGGGTTGGAGTGGGGAAAGACTTGAGGCAGGAAGACCAATTTAAAATAGCACAGGCTTGGGGTGATGAAGGCCTGCATCAGGGTGGCAGCTGTGAGAGTGGAGAGAAGGGGCCATATGGAAAGATGTTGGGAAGGTAGAAATGAGAAGACTTGGCAATAGATTGGATTCGAGTGAATGTGAGTAAGGAGCGGAGGATGGTAGAGGTTTTGAGAATGAATGACTAGGAGGATAGTGGTCCCTTTGATAGTGATAGGCAAATTTAGAAGAGGGGAGGGATTTGGGGAAAAGAGAATGAGTTCTTCTTTGGACATATGGAGTTTGAGATGTCTATGAGACATCGAGTTCAAGTTTGGAGAGACTGGCACTCAGAGAGACTTGGGCTGGATACATTAATCTTGGGTACCTGCATAAAGATGATAATTGAACCTTGGGAGCAGATGAGATTATGTGAGAGAGAAGGAGAAGAGAAGGGCTTTAAATGCCCAGGAGAGAGCCTTGGGATGGGGGGGGGGTGGCATCCATGGTTAGCAGGAACTATTTGGGTGAATATCCAGCAAAGGAGACTAAGAAGGAATGGTCAGACCTATAAGAGGAGAACCAGGCTAGAACAGGGTCAGGAAAACCTAGAGAGGAAAATATTCAGTAGAAGATCACTTGATCGTGCCAGAGGCTACAGAGAGATCAAGAAGAATGAGGTTTGAGAAAGGCAGTTAGGTTTGGCAATAAGGAGATCATTAGTGACTATGGAAAGAGTGTTTTTTGTTGAATTATAAGGTCAAGAGCTACAGCAAAGAGAGTTTAGAATTGAGTAAGTGAGAAATTGAGTGAGCAGAGGAAGTGAGACATTTCGAGGGGGAAGAAAGATGTAGGATGATAGTGGGGATGGTCAGATCAAGTGAGAATATTTTAGGAAAATGGGAGGCTTGCATGTGTTTGTGGGCAGCCAGGGGGTAGGAAGAGGTGGAAGAGTATTCAGAGTGGGGACAATGGGGCGGCAATCTTCTGAAGATGGGATAAGATCAAGCATGCATATGCAGGGGCCTGCCTTGGCAAGGAAAAGGGGCGCCTCTTCACATGGTTGAAGAAGGCATCTGATTCCAGATGAGGAGGATGGGAGAAGAGGGAGCTCATAAGAATGACCTCATTTCTTTTTTTTGGTGAAGTATAAGAATTCACTAGCTGAGGGGGTGGCTCTAGGGGGTACTTGAGGGCTTGAGGAAGAATGAAAAGGTTTGTTATAACTGCTATGATGTGTAGGATATTAAACTGGTTGGGGAAGTGAGAAAGGATTGCCTTGCCACACTGAGGACCCCAGGTGAGGTTATGGAACATGAATTTGTATGGACTCAGAATAATTTAATGATTTTCTACAGCTCCATTCTGCAGCACATGAATAGGAGCAAAGGTGGGGGACCATGGGAGTAATCTACAATTGAGGCTTAGCACAGTCAGTGAAAGGACAAGGGATAGGGTGTAGAGATGTGATTTGAAGAGGGGGAAAGGAAAAAGTTTTTAAGTGCGTACTATGGGCCAGGCACTGTGCTAAGCACTTTACAAATATCTCATTTGATCTTCAAAACAACCCCGGGAGACAGATGCTATTATCATCCTCATTTTATAGTTGAGGAAACAGAGGCAGTCATCAGTTAAGTAATTTGCCCGAGTCATAGGTAGGCTGGATTTGAACTCTGGTCTTCCTGACTCCAGGCCCTGTGCTCTATCCACTGCAACACCTAGCTTATTATCCTCTGATGACAGGGATTGGTTTTTGTTTTTCTTTTCTCAGTGCAAGGGATGCACTTAATGTGTTTGTTTAATTAAGAGGAGGCAGTAAAGGCAGATTAGTTTTTCTAGAGTCTAGTCAGTGAAGGGGAAGACAGAGATAAGGCTTTATAGAATGAGGTGATAGCAGGCCCTAGGGAAGGTTTGGGGGTGTGTGTGTGTGTGTGTGTGTGTGTGTGTGTGTGTGTGTGTGTGTGTGTGTGTGTGTGTGTGTGTGTGTGTGT